TTATGGAAGGATGGGTTAAATGCTGATTGTAAGCTATGTAAGGACAAAATTAAAGATATAAATTAGACAGATTGTTGTGCACGAAGAATCATTTCATTACAGCCAGATTTTCTATCCCAAAAAAGTGCGTTAGAGGAAATAATACAAGAAGCTGAACATTTATGTATATTTTACCCAAAGTTTCACTGTGAACTGAACTATATTGAATGATACTAGGCGGCAGCGAAAAGATATGCCCGGAAAAACTGTGATTATTCTTGGTCAAGCTTGCAACGTATTGTTCCTGCAGCCTTGGAGTCTGTTAGTACAATTACAATAAGAAAATTTGCTAGAAAGGCATGGCGTTACATGGATTTGTATAAAAAAGGAATAACTGGTAAATTGGCAGAATATGCTGCCAAAAAGTATAAATCTCACTGTTGTATTCCTGAATATGTATTGGCAGAATTAAATGAAATAAAATAATAAAATGCTAATTACTTCGCGTATAAATGCCAAATCACGTGAATAAATGCTAAATCACATGAATATCACGTGATAATCAACGTTTGAAATTTCAGACTAATGCGGTTTATAGGTAACAGCCACTATAATAAAAATTAGAATTTTTGATCACGAAGAGTTCTTTTTGTATTATTTCAATCATGAGTTTTGCTTATTATATTTGGATTGATCTAATTTTTATAAATAATATGATATACAATTATAATACAATTCTTATATTATTATTTTGATTTTTTGTTTTAATACAAATCAGAATTTCAATCAAGATTGTATTATTTCAATCATAAGTAAAAAATTTCACAAGATATCAAATTAATAGATAAATTTATTTATAAAGGAAAGTATTTTTTACTATCATATAATTTTTCACCTTTTGAAATTTAAATCAACCTTTAAGTTACTTTAATTTACTCCATTAAATCATATTTTTTTACAAATACAATAATGACTACAAGAATCATTTGAGATGATAATGAAATCAACTTATTAGTCGATGAAAGAAGGAGGAGAAACATAGAGTATTATATAAGATACAGAGGCAATAAGACAGAATTCTAGAGGAGTGTAGCTTGATGAATCAATTGAAGATTTGGTATGGCATATTCAACTTGCCAATGCGAATTAAAATGGAAGAATTTAGTATAAAATTATAACATAAGTAAATAAATAAATAACAATATAATAATAAATATAACTTAACAGTATAATTAATATCTTTTAAGATTTTTGCGATTATTAAAATGAAGCAAGAAGAGGTGGGAGGTGGACTTATACTATGAAAAGATTATACAACTTCTTCAGAACTCGATTTTGGGATAGGCTAGGTAATGATTAAAATGTTTAAATGATTTTTTAGATTTATATTAAATATATTTACTTTTTTAGAATCAAGACACACTCGTAAGAGAAAATGTAATTTGCCTACTACAAGACAAATACAAAATATAAGGTAAAGGCTTGTAAGGCAATAAAAATTTTGATTTTTTTTTATCATTCGTTTAATTTCGTATTTTTTTCATATCATTTATTTTTCTTTTCGTATCGTACGTTTAATTTCATTTTTTCTTTTTCATTTTTTCATTTCGTTTTATTTTCTGTTTCATTTCATTTTTTTATTTCGTTTCATTTCCTAATTTCATTTTTTCGTTTCGTTTTATTTTCCTAATTTTGTTTTATAGTTTCTTTTTATTTATTTAATTTCATTTTTTTATTTCGTTTTATTTTCCTAATTTTGTTTTATAATTTCTTTTCGTTTATTTAATTTTATTTTTTCGTCTCATTTCGTTCACTTAATTTTGTTTATAGTTTCATTTTAGTTTCTTAATTTCATTTTTTTGTTTTATTTAGTTTTCTCTTCATTTCGTTTTTATTTTTTATTTTATTTTTATTTATTTTAAAAAAATAAATTTTTTAAAAAAAAATTTAAGTAAATTAATAAAACTGTCGTTCAACGATTAATAATGTGAAAATATTTCTGGAAATAGTAAAATTATATTTGTGTAATAAAATCAGTAATTATCTATTATAACAAATATTTTGTTAACGCTATAACGAATTATTCATTATATATTCTGCATAATTCATTATAGTATTAATGAAGATTCTTATAATGAAGTCCTGATTGACTGAATCGGCAACTTCATTATATCGAGGTATAACTGTATTTGATTATTTATTTAAAAATCAAATTTATTTTTTTAATTATATTTATTATAATAATATTTATATTTATATTTATAATTAATTATGTTTTTTAATTGGTTTAACTAAAATAACAAAAACTATATATTAAAAGAAAATAAATAATAATAAATAACAAAAATCAAAAAAAAAATAATTAATTAAATAACAATATATGATTAAATAAAATCAAAAATAAGAAAAAACAAAACAATAAAAACTTTTGTTTTTTAAAAGAAAAACTTAATTATTAATTAAAATTAAACTTATAAAATAATTTTACCTTTTTCTTTACAAATAAGAATTAATTAAAAAAAATCTAAATAAAAAAGATTTAATTATTTAAAAGAGTCTGAAATTATATTAATGTTTATAAAAAAATATAAATGAAGAGAATTCTAAATAAAAAAAAATAAAAGTAAAAATAATACAAATAAAAAAAAACTTATATATGCAACTTGAAATTCAAGTAAACTAATTTTTTAAAAGAAAACTTGCATAACTACTTGCTGAATTTCGTACAAGTCAATTATGAAATTGGGAACTGTGATTGTACCAGGGACTTTTATGGTGTAATTAGTTTCATTCGGGACGTTGGTATTTGTAGTGGGATCCATAAATATTGAGGGGTTCCAGAAAACATCTTCAATTGGTATTGTCACTTGATAAGCAGGGAGTCCCGGAGCAGTGCAAGAAGTAGCTTTAGTAGTACCATATAACAACGTGCCAAAATCCCACTATAAATATTTGCCAACGTTATACTTTAATAGTTAATAGTTGACTATAAATTAACATTAGATAAATCTTACTTACAGCTTTAAAAGACACTCGTGGTAGATTTGGATTTGTTGGCACTATAAATCCCGCTGGTGCTGTATATCCTGCTGGTGCTGTTGGTGATACATTTTGGCGCGTCCATAACATAGCCTAATAATATTAAAAAAAAAAAAAATCTTAAGAGATGAAACTATAAAAAAATTAACAAGCTAGACATACCAACATCGACCGATGAACATTTCCTTGATGGCTCCTAATAGCATCAAGTTTGATGCCAAGTACATCTCGAACAAATTGTTGACGCAGCCACGTCTCACATCTTGTAATTAAGTTATCAAGGCTCTGAGCGTTAGCTATTTCAACAATTATTCTCGCGTGAGGCAATCCCTACGTAAAGGTATTGTTAATATTAGGAAAGTGACCAAACATAAATTAACGTGAACAAACTCAAAGTACACTTTTGTCGCTTGGTGGAGGTCCGGGATGCGGAATATACGGTCGTGGAACATGAGCAGTAGATGGATATACCGCGACATCTGGTGCCATTTTTTCCCCATGGCCGATTGGATTATAATGGACTATAGAAGAAAAGTTAATTGTTATTACAAGCCAAAAACCAAACAGACTAAAAAAAACTCTTTACATGGTTGACCACAAATTATTATCGGACCAAATAATACACCATTATTTGGTCTATCGAATATTTTCATCAAAAGAAAAGCAGAGATTTCATGTTCCGAATTAGCCATTTCAATAATATAAACGTTTTTGTTTTCCCAGTAGAATTTGTACCCAGTCGATTGGTTTTGGTCAAGAAAAGTATTATACTCTTTCACTGAAACGTTTTTTCCAATCTGAAAAGGCAAACTGAAAATCATACACGTCAAAAGTAAGCAGACCTTAAAGAACATGCGCGAGTCAAATACTTACTTTTCTTCTGATAAGGGAAAGTCTGGCAGTTTGGGATAGTTATGAAATATTTTATTAAATGTGTTTCGAATGTTCTTTACTATCCTTACTGTTTGTCTCCGACGAGAGCTTGAGATTGAGGAGGACATGCTGAAGAGGTGGGTTTTGTATGAAATTAAAATTTTTTTTTATTCTTTGATTTCTTTTAAAGAATAGTTACGGTGGTTAATTTGATCAATGTAATGATTAATCAAATATCAAATAAGTAAGTCCTGCCCGGATAATTATAATAAACGTTTATTCTACTATAACCTTTATATAACATTAAAAATATACTTTTTTGTCATATGACCTAAATACAGTCAAAACTCGTTATAGTGAACTTTCAGTTCCAGACAATTTTGTTCACTATAAAAAAATTCTTATAACGCGAATTTTTTCGAAACTTTTATTACTGTACTATATTATTAAAACAAATACAACGACCAAATTTTTTTTTTTGAACTTTATTATTAAAAATAATGCAAATTACACATTTAACATGACATAAAATTATCTAATGTAGATTGCCGTGCATTATCTTGAATTTGCTTGTTAATTCTCGATTTTAAAATATTAAGAATTTTCATCTCCGCATAATTAATTGTAATATTATCAGGCGGAATTTTAAAATATTGAATCACCTTCGCTAAATTATTCAAAGTTTATTGTTGGTAATAATATTTATTCTTCATTTCCAGTGAGTGATTTTATCTTGCTAGAGTAAGTAGCATGAAAGGTTGCAACCAAATAGATTTGTAGAAGTTCAGGCTTTAGGACATCTTCTTGCTAGAGAAATGGCTAGATAACTGACTTAAACATATAGCTGTTTTCAATATTTGGAATGATAGCTTCATATTTAATTGTTGTTGTTTTTGAGCTGGATCTATTTCAGTCTTAGTTTATTGAAAGAAAAAGATTCCAAATGATGTTTGCAAGTAGTACAATACAAATTTCAAAGTACAGGAAGCATTAATCATAGCAAAAGATTTGTGAAATGAAATGTAATATGGAGTTGAACAGGGAATATTGCAGAATCTACTCAATCAGAATAATTACTAAACAGGTTAAGTAGATGGCGACTCATAACAATGACATCTGAGATAGATTTTGTCGATCTGAGGTGATAAGTAGTGATGAGTGAGTAATTTGCTTTGGCATTCAATCGTTTAAAATTGGTTTCTATAATTAATCTTTTTATATAGTTACAAGTCGCAAGAAGAAATGGAACAAGTCTCGCCCTCGCCAACCGTACTCCGATTAAGCGTACACGACTCGAACAGTGATGACGTGATTGAAGATGAGGAGACCCCAGGTGAAGTGCGTGACGGAACCTTTTGAAAGAGCTGTTGGGGTACTCCAAAAAGTATATCAAATTTAATCAAACCATGACTCTAATTTTTCTGAATTTGATAACAACAAGTAATATCACATAGACTAACATACAATTACATAATTATTCTCTTCTCTTTCGTACAATTCGCTTTTCATTATACATTTTTAATTCTTCAATGATGGCTAATTATTTATGATGAAAATTTCTCTTCGGATCTACGTACCGACTTTTCACGGAATCACTTTTTAGATCGGCAGTTCCGTGGTTAAAATTCAGCTTATTGCCGGGCCCTATAAATTTGGCCAAAAATTTTTGTTATCCTAAAAATCTTAATTCTAGCCGAATCTTATTTCGGTGGAGTTTAAATCAAAAGGTTTTAAAAAGTTAACCCGTTAGTTATAATTGGTCCCAACCTCTAATCATGCGTAATCAATTTACCGAAAATCATGAAAAATTTTGTGAATATGTTACCCTCATCACGGAACGACCAATAAATGTTTTTTCGGAACATCTGAAAGAAGAAAGGTTATAATCGTTATTCGCGTGATTTGTTTCAACAGCCAATCATGAATCAATATATTGTGTTATCTCGTGCCAACTTTCAATTGGAAATTATTGGACATAAAAAGTGACATGACATTTCAATGTTATTTTTATTATAAGGGAAAAAGGTATTCCATATTAGATTATAGACTATAGGAAATTTCTACAAATGTAGAAAGGTGATACATGGAGATTCATTAGATAATGATGATGTTTATTTTGTGTAACAGTAATAAATGTATATTGATTGTCAAAAAACCCTTAATCCTAAATGACCAACCACACCCCCGTGAAGATTATTATTAAAGATGAATTTTAAAAATCGATTAAAGAAAATTAATTTAGTAACGTTAAATAAAAAAAAAGCTATATACAAATTAAAAATGGTAATAATAAAATAGACGTATCACTCATTCCTATTAATAATCTTGAAAACCTCAAATTCCTCAACACAAAAACTGGATGTATCACTCCGTATACCCATCTCATAAGAATGCTTCCTAGCACTACAAGAAAACGATTCATTAAAATTATTATCTAACCTCAGATCACCATTGCCAAAATTAATTACTTCTACGTCACTATTTAATTTGTAGATCGCATTAGCCTTACATCCCCGTTGTAAGTAACTGACGCAAGGTTTCTCTAAAAATTTTCCAGTTTTAAAAGAAAATATAAAACTACCCATCGTACATCCATTAGCATCCGTATTCCAAGTGAGTGGATTATATCCACCCAAGAATTCATCAGTACCCGCCACCTTCATTAGAATAACGGATCCTTTCACGTTATCACATAATTTATGAAATGAGTCTGCGGTAAACCCATCCCTACTACTTCTCATTAATAATTCAAATCGATATGGTAATTTATTAACGGAATAAGGTTCAATCCTGCGATCAATCCATCCACAAATGTAACTCAAATGATCCCAATTGATTAAACGAGATTGAATTCCGGTACCTCGCTGTCGCATAACCTGCTTACACTTGAACAACGGCATTATGAAATTGGTCATGATGGAATCATACAACTCGTAAGGGATGAGAGTCCGATATGGCCACACGTAGCGTTGAAATTCACTTTGAGTCATATTACAAAATCTAATATAAGGTAGATATTCTTCTATAGAAGATTTAACAGCTATAATATCACAACGACTCCATGACGAAGGGTCTACTGGGATATTAGGATTTTGTTTTATGCCCCAATGGATGATGTAATCCCATAATTCCACCTCGTACAAGTTTAATTCGTTACGTTGAAGTAAACCCAATAATATATTAGATTCAAAAGAAGTAAATTGTGGTGATTTAAATAATATTGAAGGATTCTCGCATATAGTTTCCAAACAAACGTGCTGTAATGCTTGAAATGAGGGATATTTAAACGCGAATTGGGTTATTTCCAAACAATTTTCTTGTAACCATGATAATTGTGCAGTTGTGAAATTTTTTTGAATGTAATTGATGAAAGAGGTAAAGATCATCTCATCAGCTGATATCAAGAGCTCAATTATGAATTTACCATCTTTATCGCTTAATTTTGCATAGTTCGTGTAACAAAAGCTAAGACAAAAGGAAAAAAAGGGTTTGCGAGTTAGTTTTATCATACAAACTCCCGCCAATGGTAAAGTATAATTGATACCGTATCGTACCTTAAAATGACTTCGAATATCTCTGGAGAAATATTTGGTTTGCGATAGACTATCATTCCATTCTCCCTCTGTATCCAATTGCTTGACAATGCGGCGAGAAAATAAGGAGACTTATCCCTCAGTATATTGGAGTGCGCGTGAAACGTTTTGATTGAAGGTTCTTCCCCAACATAGATTATCATATCGTATTCCTTGTTTATTATATGATGGTGATGATGATGTATACTTGGCATCCTTTGGTGTGGTAACTTTGAACGGCTATATGTCAACATTTTTTTTTTAAAAAAATATATATTTATTTTTTTTTGAATTTAGATTTTTTCGTTCGATATAGTTTTTTAGTTTTGAGAGAAAAAAAAAAAAGAATTCGCCAAGTAATCCAGAAACGTAACTTGTATTTATATTCGTTTAAATAATTTTAATAATCTTGATGATCTATTTTGTGACACCAACAATAAATTAACATCACCACATAATTTATTTTATTTCCGATTATAAAATCATATTGTTCGGAGAATAACTGCGTTATATAATATCATTTATGTAAAGTTATCAAAGAACTCCGTAATTTTAAGAATGTATAATTCATGACACATTTGGAACAATCCATGTTGGTATTTTCTTCGGCGCATGTCTCTTTTTTTTTTCAAAAGGTTTTCGTTTCTTTTTTTGGTATGTAGCTCTTACGCCAACGAATGGTAACCAATCCACCTTATTATTAATTATGCATAAAGACATAATGTTTTTTTTATTCTTTCCTAATTCCTATTCGGTAGGTTCATTCCAGAGCTTTCTGGGAAGAAGGTCAACCGCTTAACTCCGTTTCCGTTTAATAGAATGATTAGAAATGAAAACAATTTTTGGGGGAGGTCGATACTTCTTTTTTTCTTAATGAAGGTGTCCGTGAGTACATTTTGTGCATACATGCGTACATATCTGTATTACGGATTTTTTTGAAATCCTCAAAAAGTATAAAAAAAAAAAGTATTTTCCATTTCCAATTTATATTTTTGGTCAAAATGACCTTTATTTATTGACACCGCATAATGTTTTGCCATAGCGTTCGCCGTGCCAAAAAGAAGATTTTCCTATTCCGTTCATGCGCACCACACGTTTGCGATTGCATACACGAGACAATCGAGTTCGAACCTTATTAATCGTAGGAATTGGTTCAAATATGGATAGATAATCTCTTTTTCCAAACGATAATAAGAGAAATTTCTCTTTTTTTTATTTTTGGAATAATGATGAATTTCCTTTTACAAATCACATTGTTGCCTCAAAAAAAAAATCCTGGTTAACAATGTCTTAAACTTTTCACATTTATAGTACTAAGGGATGTTGATTAAGTTGATTGGACCATGATGTCATATTAACGTATGTAAGAACAATCGAAAAGTTTTTTCCCTTGAGGTTGCTGCGCCACATAATCTGCGAAACCCAACCCTATTGTATGTTCAAAAAATTAATACTTACTGATTGTGCGAGAATTTACCCCTATTATTCATAAATCGAGTTTACCAAAAGGTAAAAAAGTACCTGATTCGGGTTAACAAAGAGAAATAAAAAAAAATTTTTTATTTTAATTTTTTTTTTTTACCCAAAAACTTCACAATCATCATGCTGTCATTGTATCCTAATCTCTTGGTTCCCGACAACTTACTTTATTTATCGTTAACAATGTTCTAAACCTTAACCTTGTATCTAATCACATTTTTTTTTTGCAAACAATTGCGCTGCGCCACAAACAGGCATGTATGCCGTATAAGAGCCAAGAGTTTCCTATTGTTTTCGAGAATTGGATAGGTGATCACATGGTCATTGTTTGAAAAACTTTTTTTTTTCTCCTCTAACAAAGAAACCTATGAGAATTTTCCCTTATTCCGTTTATTTGTTTGTTTTTCCCTTTTTTTTTTTTAAAAAAAAAATAAAAATAAATTAAAATAAAATAAAATAAAACGGATAAACAAACAAAACAGAAAGAAAAGGTTGTAGAAAATATATATAATAATAGGATTAGAACAATGAATGAATTCTTTAAATAGTTAAAAATTGACACGAGAAATCTATTTAAAATTTATTTTTTTGAGATTTTACTTTAACTTCAGCCAATCAACGCACGGTCTCGTGTGATACAAAGGACTGGTTGTTAAAGTCGGAATTAGTTGAAATCAAAGAATGATTAAAATCTAATTCAAACCAAAATTGATGTCTTACAAACTGCTTTTCATGATCAAAGTGAAAAGGTTGGATTTATCAATTGTCCGTTCATATTGTGACAATTTTGTGATAATAGAGACATCCGTGCAATCACAAATGTATTCCTGTCGTAGGAACAATACCAAAAGAAAGAATTGAAAAACGTTACTATAAGATAATAAATCAATTTGAAGGATAAAATGCAATGTGTTGTAAATTTTTAAACGTTTGACAATGAGATGCGCAGTTATCACTTCATGCAAGGATGTTTGTAAAACTTTTAAATTTTGTGATGCAGTTTGACAAGATGATGCGCAAGTTCTACATTCCTGAAAGGAAATAAACTAGGAAATGGGGACCGTTGTTACGATCTTAACTAAAAAAAATTCACACTGGTATTTGCTTTACACCAATCCGCATCGACTCAATTATTGAGCGGACATCTTTAGTCAAACAGCATAGAATTATATAGTCCTTCGCTACGCTCCGGACTAATAATATTAAGAAAATAAATTTATTTTGTACGATGTAATGCAATTTTAAAAAATGTTTGACAAAGAAGATGCGCAGTTCTACATTCATGAAAGAAATAAATAACATTAAGAAAATAAATTTATTTTGTACGATGTGATGCAATTTGAAAATGTTTGACAAGACTTTGTGCACCTGTTCTGGCATGTTCCAGTTGAACAAATCACGTGAGTTCGCAAATCATACGAAATACTTTCGAAAAATATAATTTATTTAAATCCAATGATAAATCGAAATATGGAAATAAATGAAAGACATGTTAAAAAAATAAAAAGAATCGAGATAAAATTAAAAAAAATAAAAACGGATTTATGCCATGCGAATGAAATAAGATATACGCGAAAAAGAAAATAAACATCATACGAAGGTTGATGAAGAAAATTTAAATAAAGGTACGAGATTTTAAACGAAAGATTTTTGTCAAATATTACAGATTTTTGCCTAGAAACATGAAATGAAAGAAATGCACGATGATTTTTGCCGAAATAAATAAATATATATAAAAAAAATGCCTTAATTAGTTGAAATGAATGAATTAATCCAGATTAATTTTCAAGTACAACATTTTGATAGAAAGCCATGCAAATTGCATTCGCTTCATGTCCGAGACCAAGAAAGTTTACATTGGTCCAGACTTCATAATAATTATCCAAATTCATGCTGTCATACCATTTATCGCCATCACCAGTATACAGATATTCCAACAAGGGTTCGAAGTTTTCAGGCGAAGGGACTTTAATTTCCATCGGTTTTCCTGGAATATACTCTTCAAATTTGTCTTTAAAGAAGGTCGATTGTGGTTCCAAATAATTCCTGTGTATCCAGAAAGGAGCAGGAAGATCCTCGACAAATAATAGTTGAGCATCCGATGTCTCATTGTTGAAGTTTTCATGTCCATTTTCATGCAACTTTGGTATCAAATATGATTGCGGCATACTAACCGAATCACCCGAAACATCCGAAACATCCGAATTTTCTAATTCATCCGAATATTTCAATTCATCCAAAAAGTTCGTATTGTAAGAGGGGAAGAGTGTTGTAACGGCTGAAGTGGACATGTCGAGATGTATCTGGATCGAGCAGAAAATTGATTTGTTTTTTTTTTGTGAAGAATAAAGTTTCAAACTTTATCGATTTTTCTTTAATTTGTTTTTTTTTTAAAGAGAATTTTTTTTATTTATTTTTTTTTTTTTTAGATTTTTTTGTTTTTTTGAATTTGTGTTTTCCTCTTGTACACCACGTCTTTATATATTTCCGAAGCTGTTATGAAAATGATGAATCTACTAAAAAAGAAATATAAAAATGATTCACTCCTCATGTAAAACGCTTCAATTGCCGAGAAAACAACGAAAAGTGTCATTTTTTCCAACTATGTGTTCATTCATTTATTATTAAATCTCATGAATTCATTTATATACGAATCTTTTTTGGCTTGCGTCTCTTACGTCTCCGTGATTTGGTGTGATCATTTTTTTTTATTGTCATTTTAATATTTAAAACGACTGCGGATTTTCTCTGTGTAACGGATTATATAGAAATTATTTTTTTCATGTGTTTCACGGAATCTTTTTTTTTTCTTAAAAAAATAATTTATGTATATTGATTACATAAACATATATCAGAAACGTCATCATTGAGCCATTGGCAAAACAATAGTATCACGGTGCTTAAACATTGTTCATATGCATATGTAAAGAATGATTTTTTTTTTAAAGAAATGTTGGGGTTATCTTTTCTATAACGCTCGATTATGATTAGCCTTGAATTTGAAATGATTGGAAGTAGAACGATAAAAGAAGCTGTGAAACAGCCTAAAAATATCCTTATAACGATTCTATCATGGTTTCAAAATGTCTTGAAACCGAAAAAAAAAAAATGCTTTTGCTTTAGCAAGTAATTGCATGGAGTACCCATGACGTTAAAACCGGTTTTTTTTTCGGTCAATAGATTAATTATTGGAAATCGATCAATTGGATTCATGAGATAAAGAATTTTATGAGCGCCAACTGTTTCGAAAAAGAAAAATTTTTTTTACGGATTTACATTAATTCTGCCTAAATTGTAAAAACTGTAAAGCCCAATTTTTTTTATCATTTTTTTTTTTTTTTTTTTTTGATTAAGGTTTCAAATAAATATTGTTCTTTGAATCAATTAAACTGGGGTTCGTCCTCTATTTAATATGAATAAGGATGCCATAACAAAGATCGTGATAACAGGATCAGAACTTGAATAATTTATGTTTAACACACAAGATTCATTACTTGCCTTTATTTGTAAATGTAAGAAAATAATCTCAAACCGTCCATTCTTGTTAAATTAAGAAATACTTTCCTTTCCCCTTCGCGCTTTCACTTTTTTTTTTTCCTCCACATGACACAAAAATGATTCGATTTCAAAAAAAAAAAAAACCCCCCAAAATAATCTTTATATCGTTGGGAAACCTTTAAGGGACAATTTCTAAAAAAAAAGAAAAAATTCTCATGAGGAAAGACCAATGTGACCAATCAAATCCAATTTTTTTTAAGATTATACTTTGTTTACAAATTAAGTAAAATTTCAAACTATTTACTTTTTATCCTTTCTCCCTTGAAATAAATGATATTCTTCAGTATGCTTTGCCATTTTTCCGTTATCGTTCGTATGACAAAAATGATCATTCATCTTTTTTTTATTATATAAGGGTGATCTAACCGTTTATGGTGGTAATTTCGGATAATGAATGAACCCTAAATTACATCTCATTGAACACGACATGCATGATAAGGTTTGTACTAAACTTTGATTCTTGGAAATGGGTAAGTGGAAACTTAAAACAAATACTAAAAGGAATATACTCGGCAAAGTTCGGCGTAAACCCCTATCCTCTTACGGAATTGGTTATGACTTCACCCTGCGACACACAAATATCAGATGAATTGCTTGCGATACTTTCCTTCTTGTCACACAAAATGACAAGGTTGGGTTTGGCGACGCTTGTTCGTGTTATTATTTGGAATGCAAACTTTATGGAGAGTCTAGGGTGAGAATTTTTTTTTTCAAAAAAATTGTATCAATTTTTATTCGATGTTCTTCAAGTGTACGTTCCTGTGCAAAAAAAAAAAAAATCATTATTATTTTGGGTGGTTGCACATGGCGGTCCTGGTGAGCTTTGGTTCATGTACCCTGGCACATCCCTAATTGGGTGATTATTTTAAGAAATCTTGTCATGAACTGATTGATTAACATTGAAGTACAAGAATGCCAAAGTTGCATGACAATTATTGTTTCATTTGTCCTTTTCATGCTTCTATATTTATCATCTCGTTCGAAAATGCAAAATTTTTAATTTTAAATCATTTTTTTTTTTTTTAAAAAAAAAAAAAAGTGATTTAGCCTTTATCCTATATAGATAAATAGAATTACTTCTTTAGGAAGTCGAATCAACTATAAGAGATTCCTTTTTTTTTTTTTTTTTTGCATAATATCACAACTATCGTCTTATTATGAAATATATCCTTAGAGGTAAATAATTTTCGAATGCTCTTTTCTATGCTGTTAACAAGATTAATCGCTAAAACATTAGATGATATTGGAGTTAGATTAACATCATCATCAGCTTCATAAGAACTATCAAGACAGATCGTGTGATGATTTGCGAACTAGGATTGAAAGCCAAGGAATTATATAAGATGTCATATAGAAACGGGTATGATATCGTTTAAATATATATATTTTGATTCAATTATCAAGTTTAACAAATTATAACTTTTTATAATGAACAGTTGATGGTATTAGGTGCATATCATCATATCTTCGCGAGTCTTATGTAAGGATAAGATTATGTCACCATAAAAAGTTACTGAAGTTTTAAAATCTAAGGGAATTGAAAGTTCGATCTTCATCCGAAGATTCGTCTCGTAGTGATTTAATTGACTCATTAAGTATTTATCGCACGATGGATAAATTGGGAGATAATCGCGTCGGTATTGCTGACACAGTCGACTGCGTCCTAGTTTACGAATGGATCAGGATACTTTATGAAGTTGTGTGTCTTGTGATATTGAATTTCACTTTCACAATTATACCAGTTCAATGCTTTATGTTGTTATGAAAAAAGTGAATCAAAACAAATGGTCCTTCCCGTTTCAGTCGTTAAATCAACAAGTCTAATCATCCTGTTCTTGGAGAAATAATACACTTGGAGCTTCTAATGAAAGCGTCGGAATACGGTGTAGATGATGCGGTAGTACCCATTATATTTTAACCAATTAAAAGAGAAAAGGAACTAACCATGTTAATTACACAAATAATAATAATAATAATCCTCTCCTGACAACCACCACCACAAAGACAAAACTAATTCGTCGTCGCCTTCGTTTAAGGTATTCATTTTCCTCAGATAAAATTAGAGAAAACGTTTAACGCATTAACGGCTTATAAGAACTTACTTTTTTATTATATTAGAGTTGCTTCGAGAGGAGGTAGGGGACATCATCGTAATGGAAAGCGCATGTTGATATTACATCATACACTTATAAGAAAACGGTTCAATTGCCAATTACTTGGCGTGGTACTTGAATAAACCATACGCCCTATTATCTTGGATAACTTACCGATTGGAGAGAATACGATAAGTTATTGGAAATTATAACCATTAAAATCGGATAAATCAAATCTTGAAGAATAAAGAGCCGAGCATGGACCTACACTTGATGCAATGAAATTCTTACTTTGAAGAGTAACTTTACCTCGTACAAACGTTGTCATGCCCAATGAACATTCGAAATTTATAAATCTTATTGGGCAACAAACAACAAATCAATCATCATTTCACTACCTTCAACCACGACATCGCCAATAGCAACTATCATACTGATGTTTTCTTCTTTTTCAGCTCAACAGTTCTTTGGAACAGAAATATAATAATCAATCTCAATCTTTTGATCCTTCAGTAGAATTGTCTCCCAAATATCAGAGATAAACTCAATGTGAGATAGATCGTGATCTTGGCTCGTCTTATTTCAGAAAGAAATATGGAACCCAAAATTTATATTCCGTATCAAGGGATATCTCCTGGTCGAGAAATGGTATACCATATAGCTATGATTTACTGTTGGAGATAGTATGGGAGAGATGGTGAAATACCTAATTGGCTTAGAAATTCTTAAGACACAGCATTTGGGTTATTTGATTTTATCAAATATTTTAAATGTAAATTTATCTTAATAAAACCATTGAAAAAATGTATTTCTTACTTCTCTTCGAGTAGCATGTAAGTGTATTCTCATTCAACCTAAAAACTAATACATTTTGATATAATTTCTAATTTAATATCCTTTTAAAAAAAATTTGTCTTTTTATTTAGTCATGATGAAAGTAGCCGTGACGAATCATCATCATTATCAACATCTTAAGTTCATTAAAAAAAAATTACTAAGGATATATTTTCAAGTAAAGATTCTATTGATGACGAATCTTCATTCTAAGAGTTTAAGTTCATCTCCAAAGAAAGTGAAAATGAAAAATAAATCATAAGGTAAAAATACATTCAGGCTTCTTTCGAGGATCATCTGATGAAAAGTAAAGATCGTCATAAAAATGATCAGATTATAATTCAGATGATTGATTTAGATCCATTTAGTAGTGAAGAACAAGATTTCCAGTGCAGCTAATACTCTGAAAATCAGTGAGTGATCAGAAGTAATAAATCGGTATTAAAGTTTAACAAAATAATGGATCTGAATTAGATAAGTTGTAGATAGTACAAATATAAGACTATACTTTAGGTTTCGAGTGAGAGCTAAATGATATCTTATTTGTTCTTAAAATTTATATGAATAAATTTTTTATTCATTAATAAATAATTAATAAAAACATAATAATATATTTATTTATTTATTAAATTATAAATCATTAAAATTTAAAATTTATTAAAATTTTCTTTTTTCATCTTAATAAAACATAAAATTATATATAAAATTATTTAATAATTTAACAAATATATATAAATTGATATTTAATATTAATAAATTCAAAAAATTTTAAAAAAGGTTTAAAAATAATTATAATAATAACAAAGTTAAAAACAAAATAAAGTAATTTATAAAAAATATTATAATTATAATAAATGGTTATTTGTTATCAAAAATAAATATAAATATAATATAAATAATTAAATATGATATTGTTAACATGCAATCCTTATGAATTGTAATAATTAGATAGGGTATTGAAGTAAAACATGTGATTTATATTAATAAAATTTTATACTAAAAGTTTATATTTACATATAATTACTTATTACTAAAGATAATTTATATACGTGTATATAAATTAGTAATTTAAAGGTAAAAATAATTTATTGATAAAAGATTAAAAGTAAAAAAAAAATAATAAAAAAAAAATAAAAAAAAATAAAAGAAGTTATCTAATTTAAAAATAAATCACAATTAATTAGTATTACTATATAGAATAAGAATACTAAAAAGAATATTAAAAGAAATTTACTAATTTATATATATTTTTAATTTACATAAAATAATACAGGAGGTTTTCAAAAGTTTATGCATACTTTTTTATATGAATTTTAATTATATTTTTATTAAGCAAGCAAATAATCTACAATTAATTAATATTATTTCTAAAATAGTAAATTAAATTTTATACTAAGCTATTTATTATTTGATCAGATCATCATTTTCATCTAAATATATCACTAATATTACAAATATAATAAATATCACAAATCTTACAAAAATCATAAATCCTGTATAATTTGTTTTATGCACTGTGACGGGTAAAATTTTAGATAGATTTAATTGGTAGAATAGAAAGTCAATTTTATTGCCATGTAGATCTTCTATGA